AGACTTGAAATCCTGCTTGCTGAAAGAGAGAGAGAGAGGGAGAGAGAGAGAGAGAGAGAGGTGTGAAAAGGTATAACATGCTGGGGGTCTTACATGTCTCTCAGCTGTGATACAGAGAGCAGGCTTCAGTGAGCTCGCAGACCAAAAGGGTCCATAAAAAAAATCAACATCCTTTTCCCACACCAGCACCTTCAGTGACTCCCGTTCCCCCTCCTCACCTTTCCGTCAGGGAGCTCTGATGACCTGGTGCATAAGGAGTTAGGCTCCCCACCCAAAGGCAGGTCGTTTAAATCCACAAGCTGGGAGAAAGATGGGAAATCTCCCGTGCAATGTACCCAGAGACTGCCTCGCAGCAGTGTCTTCAAGGGGACTGAAAACCCGCTGGAGGGCCCTGAATAGGCTCTTCCCCAAGTATGACAAGATAGTTCCGTCAGAATAGTAACTCGGATAAAATAAGGACCATCCCGTTTGATGGGACCAATGACTAGCATCCTTTCGCTAAAAGGCAGTTGAGACGTAGGACATCCGAAGATGCTTGAATGCCACCTTCTGCTCCTCGGATTTGAGTCTAAAGAATGAATCAGGTGTGCAAGGTGACCCTCTAAGATACATGTCCTTGGCTGTGATTTGTCCGGAGCAAAAGAGGAAGAAGGAAGCTTGTTGTTGTTGGGTGCCGTCCAGTCACAGACGGACTGTGAACAACAGAGCTAAGCCCTATCCTATCCTGTGCTATCTGGCCATCTCTGATACATTTGAGCCCATGGCTGCCGTGACTGTGTTAATTCATCTGTTTGAGGGTCTTCCTCTGCTTCGCTGACCCCTCCACCTTTCCAAGCATGATGCACTTTCCGAGGACGGACATCTCCTAGCAACATGCCCAAAGCAGGTGCAGCAGGGAAGCTGCGTCTCCCTTGCCTCCAAGGAGCACCCCGGCTGCACTTTTCTCCGAGACCTATCCGTTCACTCTTTTTTTTTTTTCAGTCCTCAGGAAAATCAGTGCTCTTCTCCAACACTGCAACTCCAAGGCATCCACTTTTGTTTTGTCATCCCCAGCCTACAGAACTCAGTCTACACGAACCACAGAGTCCTCTGCTCTGAGACCGGAAGAACTGGCTGGTGCCCGGCTATGATGACATACTTTGGGCATGTTGTTGGGAGGAACAGGACCTTGGGAAAGGACATCGTATGGGAAAGGATGGCAGGTGGAGGAAAGAGAGGAAGGCTTCCTACTAAATAGACTCGCATGGCGTCCACAGCAAAGGGCTCGAGCACACCAGAGATGGTACGGGTGACGCAGCACAGGGCAGGGCTCAGAGCTGTAGGGGACAGGGTCACTGTGAGTCAGCATCAGCTCAATAACATCTGACAACAATAACAACACACCAGCAACTGTTGGCAACAGACGGGCTCGGATAGGATGGGAGAAATCACTCAAAGAGGACCACTGATTCCTAATGACAAGACCTACTGGGCTGGTTGGGGCTTCAAACTTCAAACCGGCAAGATAATAGATTCTTTCACAAGCCAATCTCTGGGTGGGCGCTCTGATGGAGCTGTGGCTGAGGCATTCAGGTGCTGACCCCAGAGACAGAGGTGGTCCCCCAGTGGCCTCCCACTCCTTGAGAGGAAGATGCAGTGGCTGCTTCCGTGAAGATTATGGCCTTGGAAACTCTATGGGCCACCTCTAGTTAATCCAACACAGTTCGGTTCGCTGGGGTTGGAGTCAATTCCATGGTAGTGAGCTACCAATGAGGACCACCTCTTTTTTTTTTTTTTTCAAATCCCCTCTACGAGACCAGAGTACTGAAGAGCAATGACATCAGTCTGAAGACTAAGGTGCACCTGATCCAGGCCATAGTCTTTGCAGTTGCTTGCCATGTGTCAGAGAGCTGGACAATGACTAGGAATGACAGAAAGAGAATTGAAGCCTTTGGGCTGTGGTGCTGGAGAAGAGTATTGAATATACCATGGACTGCTAAGAAAATAAACAGGTTCATCCTGGAGAGGATGAAACCAGGCTGATCCTTGGAGGCAAGGATTCTGAGGCTTCGTCTGACATGATTTTGGCATGTTGTCAGGAGGGGCTGATCCTTGGAGAGGGACGTCATGCTTGGGAGGTTGGAGGGATGGAGAAAGAGAGGGAGACCATCGATGAGATGGGTTGGTACAGTGACTGGGGTAATGAGGGTAGGTGTGTCAGAGACAGTCAAGTTGGCCCAAGATAGACCAGGTTCAAGGCTGTTGTACACAGGGTCGCTATGAATCACAAGTGACTCGATAGCACATGTCAACAACAACAACGATGAGACCAGATGGTCCCCAGCACTTTGAAGACTAAGAGGAGGCTGTCAGGGGCAGGGGCACTAGATGAAGGGGTACGGAGCCACCAGAACAGAAACCATGAGAGTGTCCACACAACATGAAGAACACAGGTCACCCAACAACTCGGGTAGAAATCCTCCAGCAGGGACCTCAAGTGCCAGGTAAGCCTTCCGTGGAAACACACAGAATTAACAAACACCCAACACACCATGTGGAACACCACAGGCCAGCGTGCAACTTGCAGGGGCCAGCACAGAGCTAGGCAGCTGGGCAGCACAGGGCTGGCAACACCGGGCTCCACGGAGAGGCCCCCACAAATCAGGACAGCAGCTGCCATGGCTCTGGAGACAGGCAAACTAGGGCTGGAAGGAGGGCCTTCATCACCCTCGCTCCAAGGCGATCCCCCACCTTCCTCCTCAGCGCTGTCACACAAATGACACCACGTCGGTGTGGCCCGGTCCTGCTCACCCTCCCTAGTCTCTGTAACCACTCCCCAGCCCCTAACGTGCAATCACGCTCATTTGGATTTCTTCTAATCGGCTGGCATTCTGACTCTGGGGGAGGTCCCTTTGGGGTCATTCATTCAGCCACCGGGGTGAGGAGAAGGGAGAAGGGACTGTCCTGTGCCCTGGAGGACGTTTGGCAGCACATTCTAGGATACACCTCAACCCTCCGTCTCCGCAGTGCCTTGAGTCACGCCTCGCACGTCGTGGGCAATCAGCAGACACCAGCACTCGAACTCAACGCCGTCAAGTGGGAACCGAGGCATGTGACTCACCCTCCAGATAGAGGCTTAAACTGCACCAGAAGATATTTTCCGTCTTTCTCCTGAGAAGCAGCTGGTAGGTCTGAACCACATGCCTTTGTGTTGTCAACACCAGGCTTACCACTAGGGCCACCAGAGTATCCTTCAATGTACACGTTGTTGTTGTTGGGGGCCGTCGAGTCCGACTCAACCTGAGGTATCCTCATCATCTCTGACATCAATACACATCAAGTAAACGGAGGGGAAAAGTGTAGCTAAGAGAGGGACAGGCTGCTCTCCAAAGATAACAGGTCCTCTCCATTTAAAAACAAACCAACCACTGCCACCCTAAAGAAACCATAACCACCATCCAAGCAGATATATGCGCACCCATGTTTATCGCGGCTTTGTTCACAATAGCAAAGAGTTGGAAACAACCCAAGTGCCCATCAACACACGAATGGATAGAGAAGCTGTGGTATAGTCACACAATGGAATACTATGCTGCACTGAAAAACAAGGAACTCATGAAATATTATTCAAAATGGGTGACCCTGGAGGACGTTATGCTGAGTGAAATACTTCAGTCACAAAAGGATAAAATACTGCATAATGCCACTGTTATTAGACAGGACTGACATAGGGGTTGGGGAAAACTAAGAAAAGAGGGGATAAATAATGTATACGGCATTGAAACAGATGAGGGAGAAAACTGTATACAAGGAATATAGGATTAGGTGGTATTGTCATGACAGGAGTCCAGAATAAGAGCTATATAGTAAAGTGGGTGGGGGTTGGGGGGAGCTGTATAACAATGAAAGAAATTTTTTTTTCCAAAGAAAAAAGTAAACTAGGGGAGCTCTGGTGGCCTAGTGATAAGGAGCTGCAACTACAATCCCAGAGGCACACAGTTCGAATCCACCAGATGCTCTGCCGGGGAAGGAGGGACAATCTCCTCCTGTACCAGTCAGATCTGATTTGATGGTACACTCACACAAAAATAATAAAATAAATAATAAAAAAAGAAAAAAGTAAACTAGAGATTCAGAGAGGAAAATGTACAACAATAAATGAATGGAAATCCAAGTTCTTTATAAATTTTCATTAAAAATGTCAATTTGGTTTTTTAAAAAGTACCAAAACAACCCCCAAACTCACCCCACTGCCATCAAGTCAACGCAAGCGCTCAGTCTCTCCCCCGCCCCAAGCAGGGACACAGCCTTTTGGGGTCCCCAAGGCAGTCAGTCTTCAGGGAAACTGAATTTCCAAGGCCGTGCTTCTGACTGCCTCATCGTTCCCCCAGAGCCACTGGTGGATTCAAACCACGGACCTTTAAGTCGGTAACCGAAGGCTTTAATAACGATGTCACCAGAGCTCCTTCACATCCTCGGACAGCCCACTGTGGCTCCTGCCCCCCCCCACCCCACTGAGGCTGCAAATCTTAACAAGAACACATCTGCCCACTGCAGAGTAGCTGGTGGCTTCAAACCACCGACCATGAGGTTAGCAGGCCAATTACACCAGCTCGCCTGTTGTGGTGTTGTGTGCTGTCGAGTCGGAGGACCCCGACTCTTAGCTGACCCTCCAGCAGGTTTTCAGAAGCAGTTAATCCCCTGGGAAGATAGGGCCTTCCTTCTCCCGCAGAGCACCTGGTGGAGTTGAACCATGCACCTCCGGGATTGCAGCGCAATTTCTTACCACTAGGCCACCGGAGCTCCCTACCAGCTTGCCTACTCTTCCCCCATTTTTCACTGTGAGATCTCCAGAGTCCACAGCAATCCCTCAGCCATAGTCAACACTCGGTATATACTGACCGCATGACTGGAGAGTGGGAAGAGGGGACACCTTGGCCCTCAGAGGCCCCACAGACACCAAGTGCATGGAGGACTCCTCCCCACAGAGCATGGGGTTGGCTGTTAACTGAAATACCTGGTCAGAGTTGGCGGGACGCCGTTTCCTCCTTCATCTCCTCCACCTGGGTGTCTCTATGGTCCACACTCTCGATACTCAAGGCCACAGGCACGATGGTGTCTGACACCAGCTCCGTCATGGCCAGAGGCTGCAGGCTGGGCATCGGGCTGGGCTCCTGAGACGGTTTCCTGGGCTGCTGGGTCGCTCTGGTTGGGCTCTCGGCCTTCCCAGGGGACGTGGGATAGGGAGAGTATGGGATGTCCTCCCACCTGGTGGCTGGCAGAGGGATGGGGGACCATGGGCCAGTGTCCCTGGTTGATCTGGGGGATGCATTGGCCTGGGCCTCTGGGTCCCACCCAGTCCATCGCTGCACACCCTCTTTCATCCAGCTGGGGGACTCCGGATGCTCTTGGACGATAACCGGGAGCCTCTCTGGCCAGGACACCTGGCTGTGTCGGGGGGACACGCTGGGCGGTGCCTCCTGGGGATTCATGTCAAGCCAGGAGGGCAGCGTCACGACCGCTGGTCCGGATGGCCGCTCCTGCGAGTTGGCCGTGAACATGAGCGTGACAAGGGCTTGGCCCTCCACCGTCCGCGGCTGCCTGGGCTCCAGCCCGGGTCCCTGGAGCTTCAGCTCCTTCGTCTTGACCCATCTCTTGAGCTGCTCTGGCTCCTTGGACTTGAAGTCTGGCAGGTCCACGGCGACCTTCTCCTTCTTCCTGCTGACCTTGTCCTCCGCCTTGGCCACCCCCTTCAGGCTCCCTAAGGTCACCTCCCTGGTTTTGCTAACCAGGATCTCATCGGACACCTTCTTGGTCTTGCCGCTGGGGAGTTCCACGGCCTGGACCTGCGTCCTCCTCTCCAGCATGTTCCTCTCCTGGGCGGCCACTCTGACCGCCTCCGGCTGCCGCCTCTCCACCACATCCCCTCTGTGACTTTTCCCTGGCAACGTGCTGGAAACTGCTGGGACCTTTGTCAGTGAGGTGGGCGAGTGGGAAGCCCTTTGTTGTGGGGTGGGCGAGGTCAGGGTCTTCTGGGATGGTGTCGGTACAGGGCGAGACGTTCTCTTCCGGTCAGTGGGGGGTGCGGCCCCTGAGAGAATGACAGGAACATGTGGGGTTTTCGTGGAAGGGACAGAGGGGTGCTTCTGGGGTGACGGAGGAGCGACTGCAGCTTTCCAGGAAGAGACAAGAACAGGAGGGACCTTCTGGGATTGGGCTGGGACTGTGTCAGGGGACACCATCTTGGAGGTCACAGAAGTTAGTGAGAACTGGGGTGGGACAAGGACAGTTGTGGACTTTGAGGGAGCCATAGGCACAATGGGGACCTTCTTGGATGAGGCAGATACAAACAGGACCTTCTTGGATGGGGCAGGTTCATCTAGGACCTTCTTGGATGGGGCAGGTGCGTCTAGGACCTTCTTGGATGGGGCAGGTGTGTCTAGGACCTTCTTGGATGGGGCAGGTGTGTGTAGGATCTTCTTCGAGGGGACAGCCACACCTGGGGCCTGCTGCGATGTGGCAGAGACACCAGTGGCCTTTCTGGAAAGAGCAGGAGCAGCTGGGGCCTTCTGGGATGGGCCAAAGGCTAACAGACTCTTCCAGGAAGTCTTGGGGATGGACGAGGCCTTCTGTAGGGCCTGGGGCCTGGCCTTGACCTTCTGCCTGGAGGAGGAGGGGTAGGGTGTGCTGTGAAACAAGGCAGTGGAGCGAGCATGGGGGGAGAAGGAGGACGAGGAGAAGGTGGTGGACATGCTGTCCATGAGATGGTCGATGTCCCAATGCTCCCGCTGCCCAGAGGACATGGTGGAGAAGGACCTGGGGCTGTCGTCCGAGATGCACTGGCTGGGGGTCTCCACCCTAAAGCCAGAGACGGTGACACTGCCAGACCCCAGCGAGTGCTCCTGTGAGCGACAAGGGACAGGAGAGGTACTTGTCAGAGGTGGGTGAGCACCACCTCCCTCAGACCCAGGAGCCCTGACCCATCTCCTCCCTCAGACCAGGGAGTCCTGACCCATCTCCTCCCTCAGACCAGGGAGTCCTGACCCATCTCCTCCCTCAGACCAGGGAGTCCTGACCCATCTCCTCCCTCAAACCAGGGAGTCCTGACCCATCTCCTCCCTCAAACCAGGGAGTCCTGACCCACCTCCTCCCTGACCTACCTCCTCCCTCAGACCCGGGAGTCCTGACACACCTCCTCCCTCAGACCCTGAAGTCCTGACCCATCTTCTTCCTCAGACCCGGGAGTCCTGACCTCCCTCCTCCCTCAGACCAGGGAGTCCTGACCCACATCCTCCCTCAGACCAGGGAGTCCTGACCCACCTCCTACCTCAGACCCAGGAGCCCTGACCCACCTCCTCCCTCAGACCAAGAAGTCCTGACACACCTCCTACCTCAGACCCGGGAGTCCTGACCCACCTCCTCCCTCAGACCAAGAAGTCCTGACCCACCTCCTACCTCAGACCCGGGAGTCCTGACCCATCTCCTCCCTCAGACCTGGGAGTCCTGACCCATCTCCTCCCTCAGACCTGGGAGTCCTGACCCATCTCCTCCCTCAGACCTGGGAGCCCTGACCCACCTCCTCCCTGACCTACCTCCTCCCTCAGACCAAGAAGTCCTGACCCCCCTCCTCCCTCAGACCCAGGTCCTGACTGCGCAGACCCTTCCTCCCTCAGACCTGAAAGTCCTGACTGCCCAGCCCCTCCCCCCCGACTCAAGAATTCAGGGCTTCCCCCGCCTCTCCCCCTCCTCCTCCCTCAGACCCAGGAGTTTCTAGTATATAGCTGGCCTTGTCAGCCTCCCTCTGGTCAACAATGCTGGAAATGATACTGAAGATGGTCCGGATGGTAAAGCTGGTCTTCTCTGCAGGGAGAGAAGTCTGAGCTCCCCACAAAACCAGAGCGCCACCCCCTCCCCAACCCTACCCCACCCCAGACAACCACTGGGACCGAGGGAGGGGCACGCTTACCAGAAAGTGGGATTTCCGTCTGCGAGCTGGAACTGGTAGAATGTTTTATTTCTTCCTTGGAACTTTTAAAAGTTATCATAATTTTAAAATGTATTTATGTTAGTGTTGAGAATCTACACAGCAAATCTTACACTAATTTGGCAGCCTCTGTCTAAAGTTCTGTGATACGGATGGCATTGTTCAAGTTGCCCATCCACTCCTCCGTTATTAATGTGAACACCTTGCCCCCTAAGGTTCCCATTTAACCACCCCACTTGCTATTATCCATTTAATCCCATCTCTTATTCCAAGGTCTCACTGAGTGGACTAGCACTCAATAGAGACCCTACAAACAACAGATCTGAATCTTGCCCTACTCTGTGCTACCCTCGTCATCTCCAATGTACATGAGCACACTGTTACAGTCACTTCTGATTGTGTCAGTCCATCTGATTGAGGGTCTTCCTCTCTTCTCTGACCCTCAACCTTTCCAAGCAAGATGCCCTTTTCCAAGCATTGACCTCTCCTAACAATGCAGCCAAAGTAAGTGAGATCAAGTGTCACCAGTTTTGCCTCTAAGGAGCACTCTGGTTGCAGTTTCCCCAAGACACACGTTTGTTCTTTCTTTTTTTTTTGGAGGGGGGTGATTTCTTTAGACTCGTTTGTTCTTATAGCAGTCCATAGGCTATTTAGTCCTCTTTCCATAAAGACAGAGCTTTAGAAAGCATACTGCTCAAGACAGACATTCTTTGATAATTAAGCTAAACTGCTGTTTGATTTTTAAGATATCTTCAGGGGACATTTCTGGTTTATAGTTTAAAGATAATCTCAGGTCTATAGTAGTTTGGAGAGTTCACCCAGCTTCCATGGCTCCAGAAAATCTAGATTCCATTAAAATTTTAAATTCTGTTCTATATCCTCCCCTTTTTGATCAGGATTCCACCATAGAATATTAAAGAAAATGTTCAATAATGGTTGTTGCGCACCATCCAGTTCCTCTGATCTCATTATAAAGAAAATCATTGTTCATGGAAGCAATTACCTACATGTTTTATTTCTTTCTCCTATTCCTGAGCCTCCTTCCTTTTTTAAAAAATATTGTTTCTTTTTAAAAAATATTATTTTATATGCTCATCTAGGTGATAACATAATTATGATAAAAACAAAAGGGGGGAAATATGGGAAGCCAATACTAAATATTTGTAATGAACTGAATGCTATTTAAAAATAAATAAAAATCGTTGTTTAAAAAATAATATTTTTTACTGATTTGCTTACAAAGTTCAGATTCATTGTGTTCCACACTATCCTTCCCTCACATTGTGTTTCATACAATCATTCTGATTCATTATATTTTATAAAATTAATCAACATCCCGGGTTTCGGCACCAAAAACTAATCAACATTGAACTATGCCCATCATTCTCCTGGCTTTCCAGATCCCTGCCGCATCCTTCCCATTCCCTTTACCCACACATCCCTCCACCCATCAAATTGTGCAACCCTGTGATTTCCCTCTTGCTCATCCTCACCCCTCTGCTGCTACCCTCCCCACCTTGGATCCTCATACATTATTTTACTAGTTATCTATTTCTACAATAATGGTCTCATATGATTTTTGTCCTTATGGCACTGAGTTAGTTCACTCAGCATAATGCTCTCCAGTCCCTTTCAAGTTGTGTAGTAATTTTCAAAATCATTGCTCGTGAGTGCTGTATAGTATTCCATGGTGTGATATACCACAATTTCTCAATCCATTTAATTACAGTTGGACATTTGGGCTGTTTCCATGTTCTTGCAACAGTGAATAACGCTGCAATGAACAAACAATGGTGTACAAATCTCCATTTGCATCTCAGTCTTGATTTTCTTGGGTATATTCCAAGGAGTGGAATAGCTGGGCCATATGGATCTCTTCCTTTTCAAATATTTCTTTTATAGAATGTGCAACACTGTGGTATCTCCAGAGCACCTGTTTGTGTCTTCCCTTCCTTTAGTGAGATGGTCCTTATCCTCCTCCTCTCCCTTCCTCTGTCTCTCCAGGTGGGTTGTTGTTGTTGTTATTATGTGCTACCGAGCCACTTACGACTCATAGTGACCCTATATACGAGAGCTCTAAACGCCATTCTATCCTGTGCCAACCTCACCATCTCAAACGTACTCATTCCCACCACTCCACTCACAGAATCAACCCATCTCATCGAGGGCCTTCCTCTCCTGCGCCGTCCCTCCACTCTCCCAAACATGACGTCCCTCTCCAAGGACCGTCCCTCCTTGCAACATGCCCAAAGTATGTCAGACGAATTTTCAGAATCCTTGACTCCAGGGAACATTCCGGCTTCACCCTCTCCAGGACAAACCTGTTTGTTCTCCAAGCAGCCCATGGTATATTCAACACTCTTCTCCAGCACCGCAGCTCAAAGGCATCAATTCTCTTTCTAATTGCAAAGACCATAGCCTGGATCAGGCTCACTTTAGTCTCCAGCCTGACGTTGTTGCTCTTCAGTACTCTTGAGAGGTCCCTCACAGCTGACTTTCCCAATGCAATTCGTCTCCTGATTTCCTGGCTGCTGGTACCAAGAGTGTTGATTGTGGAACCAAGTAAACTAAAACTGTTAACTATCTCAATCTCTTCACCATCCATGCTGATGCTGCCGATTGGCCCAGTGCTGAGAATCTTTGTTTTCTTGATTTTGAGCTTCAGTCCATATTGAAGACTATAGTCCTTGACCTTCTGCAACAAGCACTTCAGGTCCTCCTCAGTTTCAGCAAGTAGGGTTGTGTCGTCCGCATAACACAGATTGTTGAGGATTCTTCCACCAATCCTGATGCCACATTCCTCCTCGTACAGCCCATCGTCTCGGATGATCTGTTCTGCATACAGATTGAAAAGGTATAGGGACCAATATTTGTGCCTTTAATGGCCAGGGGCCATGTTTAAAGTCCCAGGCACCACACGATGCAGTCCGAGGTGGAGCAGGAGAGCTAGACTGGTGGCTGAGCTCATCTCAGTAGCACAAACTCACAGCTGACCCTCCAGAGAATATTCAGAAGCTGTCAAGCACACAGGAGGAAACAGACCACCTTCCTCCTTTGCAGAAGGGGATTAATTCCAACTGCTAGAGAGACGCTGTCTTTGACTTAGTAAACCATAGACTGTGAAGTCATAGTTCCTCAAATAAACTAGTTATGAGGCCTGTCAACTGAGATATCCCCAGAAACCATGACCCCAAACCTCCAAACCAAGGCACCAATCCCCTGCGACACTGGCCTCTTCACAAGCACTCTCAGGGACTGTATCCTTGTTGTTGTTCATTGTTGTAAATATGTCAAATATACAACTCTTAATAATTCAATTTTTCCCCCAATAGTAAAATTTATAGTCAGCACTTAGGATAATCAGGAAAAGAGGGCATCAGGGATGCGTCCTGTCCCCACACCTTTTCCATTTATATGCAGAACAGATCACTCAAGAGGCTGGGCTTTATGAGGACGAACATGGCATCAGGATTGGAGGAAGACTCATCAACAACCTGAATTATGTAGCTGACACAACCTTGCTTATTTGAACTGAGGAGGACCTCAAGTACTTGCTGCAGAAAGTCAAGGACTGCAGTCCTCAGTATGGATAGAAACTCAATGTCAAAACAAAAACAAAGTTTCTCATCACTGGGCCAATTGGCAGCACTATGATGGATGGAGAAGAGATTGAAGTTGTTAATATTAATAATTACAGTTTGCTTGGCTCTACTATCAACACTCTTGGAACCAGCAGTCAGGAAATCAAAAGATGAATTGCAGTGGGAAAATCCACTGTCAGGGACCTCTCCAGAGTACTAAGAAGCAACGATGACAGTCTAGAGACTAAGGTGCACCTGATCCAGGTCATGGTCTCCGCAATTACTTGCTATGCATCAGAGAGCTGGACAATGACTAAGGAGGACAGAAGAAGAATTAATGCCCTTGAGTTGTGGTGCTGAGAAGAGTCTTAAACAAACCATGGACCGCCAAGAAAACAAGTCTATCTTGGAGAGAGTGAAACCAAGTTTCTCCATGGAGACTAGGATTTTTGAAGCTCTGTCTCACATACTTTGGGCATATGGCTAGAAAGGACTGGTCCTTGGAGAAGGACATCATGCTTGGAAGGGTAAAGGGACAGTGCAGGAGAGGAAGACCTTGGATGAGATAGATTAGTACAGTAACTGGGGCAATGAGTGTGTCAGAGTCAGTGAGACTGGCTCAGGATAGGGCAGGCTTCAGAGCTGTTGTACATAGCATCACTATGAGTCATAGGCATATAACAACAACAACAGCTTAGAGTAACCAGCTGTGTCTTCCTGCATATCGTTTAAAGTTATAACTCTCCACTCCTCCTCCAGTCAACTTCTAATAATTGTTGGTGTGTATGGATTGGCCTATTCTGGGCATTTCATATGTCTGAGATCAAATAATACTTGTCCTTCTTAACTGGCTACACAATAGATACACTTCAAATCTACCGTGAAGGACTTCTTCATAGGAAATGTCAAGTTAAAGACTAAGGTGCCCTTGAGCCAAGCCAGGGTATTTTCAATTGCTTCTTCTGCATCAGAAAATTGGATAGTGAATAAGGAAGCTGAAGAAGAACTGTTGCCCTTGACCTGTGGTATGGGGCAAGAGTACTGAGCATCCCTTGGTCCGCCAAAGCACAAACAAGTCCATCTGGGAAGAAATGCAACCAGGATGCTCCTCTAAAGCAAGGATGGGGAGCCTGCAGCACACGTGCTTTCTCAGCAAAGGCCAGTCCCTGAAGAAAGACATCATGCTTGGAAAAGCTGTCCGTGAAAGAGACGGAAACCCTCAACAGGGTGACAGCTACAGCTTTTAGCACGGTGAAGACTGACAGGGTGGCCCAGGGCTGGACAAGGTTGTGATGGCTGTAGCTCAGAGTCAACTTGATGGAATTAAAGAACAAGGTAATACCCAGGGCAACGCATCAAATCAGTCAGCTGCTAAGCCAAAGGTTGGTAGTTCAAAGCCACCCAGGGGCTCCTCAAGAGAGAGACCTTGACATCTACTTCCCACAAACACCACAACCTCAGAAACCTAAGAACAATTTTCCATCCTTAAAGTGGGGCTTTTTGAGTTGGAATCAACTTGAGGGCATTCTACAACAACCCCAAAATAGTCCTAACATTTACAAAGGTAACACTTTTAAAAAAATTTTTAATTAAAGAAAAAAATTTTAATTAATGATCTTTTAATTCAACATATATATTTTTACAGACCATTCTTTCCTTTTCCTTTTCCCCCTATTTATTCATTTTTGCACATTTTCCTCCCTGCTCACCTCTCCCCATCCAGCTCATTTTTCTCTTTGAAAAAAAAATTATTTCATTGTTGTACAATCCCCGCCCTGAGTCCACAGTCCACTTTACTATGCATTTCTTTTTCTGTAATATTGTCAGGAAAATAATACCTAATCCTTTATTACTTTTAAGCAATTCTCTCCCTCATCTGTTTCAATGCAGTATACATTCTTTATTCCTCTTTTCTTAGTAACTGTCTTTTTAAAGTTTTCTTGTTGGGGGTAGGGGTGGTGGAATGTGCATCACAAAATGCACGCCACTTTCCCGTACAGCTCAGTGGCATCAAGCTCATGCAACGATGTAATTTTCTTCCCTTGTTTCAGATCTTTTCTATCATTCCAGACGGCAACTCTACACTCACTCAACAACTTCCTATTTCTCACGCTCAGCACCTGGTGGTGCTGGACAGGAGTGCTGACTGTCCCACAATGACCAGAAGAACATACAAGGCTGTTTCAGAGAAAGTGCAAACAGAGGGCTCCTTAGAGTCCGGGAACGGAAGCCTCCTCTCACATCCTCTGGGCATGTCACCAGGAGGGACCAGTCCTTGGGAAAAGACATCATGCTGCGGAAGGTGGGAGGGGGAGACCCTCAACCGAATACGACTGATAACAGTGACACGGGGCTGTAACACGGGGCTCTCACGGTGAGACTGGTCCAGGACAAGGCAAGGTTCAGACCTGGGGTCCGTGGGTCCCCCTGAGACACAGCCAACTTGCTGTCACCTAACAACAACAGTTCCTGAGAATTCTCTATGCTACCACCTGCCTCAGTGAATTCACCTGTGGCAGACACGTCACAAGGAAGCTCCAGTGATGCAGAGCCTTAAGTACCCAGCGACAAACCACAGAGTCTGCTGTTCGAACCCAGCGGATGAAAGAAGGCAGGCAGCACCAGGCTCACAAGATTCATCCGGCAGAACGGGTCTTGGGGGTGGAGTGGGGGACGCCTTTCTGCTCTGTCCTGCACGGTGGCTGGAAGTGCAGACACAGTGTTGAGTGAGCTAAGCTGCTAATCAGAGGTCAGAGGTTTGAATCTGCTCAGAGGCTTCGTTGGGAGAAAGACGTGGCAGTCAGCTTCCGCCAACATTACAGCCCAAGACAGCCTGGGGGCAGTTCTCTGCTGCTCTACGGAGGCACCGTGGGTCAGAGTCTGTAGGAGTCCGAATAAAGTCGACAGCACGCATGGCTTCATCACTGGACTGGGTGATGCAGCCTAGACCCCCTAATCCTTGACTCACAGGAGATGGAGGAAAGGCAAGACAACCTCTTTTTCTTTTTTGTTGTATTCCAGGGCTTTTGTGTTCTCTCTCCCTCTCTTGTAACTATTTAATTCTATTTAGGTGAAAGGTTGGCCATTCACACACAGTTTTATTTTTGACACTGACTGCAAGTGCCACAGTGTATCCAGCACCCTCCTTGTTCCTTCTTGTGTATCCTGTTTCCTTTCATCCTATTTCTTCCTACCTAATCCCTGGGCAAATGCCACCGTTTGCTCTCATGTGCACTGTCCTAAGCCAGGTGCCCCTCCGAGGGTTGCTGTTTGCTTTACAGCCCCCTGTGTTGCTTGGAGGAAAGTGAACCTTGGAAAAACCTACCTCTCTTCTGTGGGCATCTGCTTATTAGAGGAGTCTTCGATCCGCGACAAGACTTGAGATATCGAGTCCCCCACGATCTGAGACTTGAATGTACGCTTTACAGTCTGGGGGTGGCCAGGGAGAAAGGGGCAGTGAGGCCTTGAGAAGCCGTCCCTAGGTCCCCCCACATATACACACACAGTCAGCCGGGGTCCAGCTCTGTCCCCGGGCCTGCTCACTTTATCCTTGCGCCGTCTCTGGGAGAACAGCAGCTTGTAAGGGAAGATCATGTTGGCCAGGGAGACTGGGACGAGAAGAGGAGACAGAGGGTCAGGGAGGCCCAGAGGAGGCAGAGCTGTCCCAGCGAGAGGCAGAGAAGCCCTGTTCACAGGGGGAGGGAAGCAGCTCCAACCACACCCAGAGGCGGTCGCACGGAAGATGCAGTCGCGGACATGCAACCCTGGAAGCCCCTCACCTGAACGCTTGGTCTGCGGAGGGTTCTGTGGGTCAGAAGGGGGGTGGTCAGGGGAGAGACCACCCCTTTCTGGATTCTACACCCCCTCCCTCACCCGCCAGAGAATGCAGGTGTCTGTGCCTCCTCCCTCAGACGCCAGAGTCATCATCCTCACCCCCTCTTCCTCCCTCAGACCCCGGGGTCGTCACCTCCAGACCCTCCTCCCTCAGACCTGGGAGTCCTCACCTCCAGCACTCTTCCCTCAGACCTGGGGGTGCTCACCTCCAGACCTTCCTACGCAGACCCGGGGGTCCTCACCTCCAGCCTTCCTCCCTCAGACCCCGGGGTCCTCACCTCCAGACCCTCCTCCCTCAGACCTGGGAGTCCTCACCTCCAAACCCTCTTCCCTCAGACCCAGGGATCCTCACCTCTGGACACTCCTCCCTCAGACCTGGGGGTCCTCACCTCCAGACCCTCCTACCCAGACTCGGGGGTCCTCACCTCCAGCCTTCCTCCCTCAGACCAGTGAGCCCCACTCCCAGCTCATTCTAGGGGCCCTGACCTTGATCCCCCAACTCTCTCCCTCGGGGTTCTGGAAGACCCGGGTACCTAGGCCCGCTTCCCCTCGGCTGCCCCCGCGGGTTGGGGGAGGTTGAGCCTCACCTGGAGGCGCCAGGTGGACGCGAGGGTGATGGCGGCGGAGGGGGAAAGGTCCATGGGCAGCAGCGTGTGTGGGGACCTGGGCCGGCAGCAGGTGGCCGGCTCCTGCAGCAGGCTGACCAGGCGGCTCCAGCGCTCGAACAGGAAGCCCACCTCGTAGTCGGGGGCGTCCAGCTCCAGGTAGTAGCAGCGGCCGGTGGCCAGGCGCAGCTTTAAACGCCTGGCGGCCAGGTCGTGGACACACAGGTGGACCAGGTCCAGCGGGATCATCCTGCGGGGTGCGGGGGTGAGCGTGAGCAGTGGGCGGGCTGTGCTGTGTCCCCCTAAACTAGGAAACCCCTGCTGAACTCGTTGCCTTCGAGACCCTACAGTGGGCTTTCCGAGGCTACAAGTCGCTCAGGAAGACACTGCCCACCCTTCTCCCCCAGAGCAGCTGGTGGATTCGAACTGCTTGCCTTTGGGTTGGCAGCGCAGCTCCTGACCAGGTCGCCAGAGCTCCCCAAACCTCAGTATAATCCCATTTGGGAACTGATTTTCTGGGATTCCTTAAGAGGCTGTTGTCATTATGTCTCAACAGAAACCAAGCCCCTAGCGACCCTTCCTCGGGTTGTTGAGCCTGTGAATCTCCCCCGGAGGACACGGTCCATCTTTCTCCTGAGGACCAGCGGGTGGATTCCAACCACCTGCCTTTGGGTTCACAGAGCAACCCTTTGCCCATGAGGCAGTGAGAGCACTCTCTTAAGTCAGCGGTCGATGGGTTTTACGTCTGTTAAAGACACCAGAAACCCAGAGCTAAAGACCCAGAGGACTGGGACAGAGAAGTGAGCAGAGGTGTTGTTATTGTTGTTATGTGCCTTTGAGTTGCCTTCGACTCATAGCGACCCTCTGTACAACAGCCGTAAATCCTGCTCTGTCCTGTGCCAATCTCACTGTCTCCAACACACCTACTCCCATTATGCGAGTCACAGAATTAATCCACCCCATAGAGGGTCTTCCTCTCCTGCACTGTCCCTCCACCCTCCCAAGCACGATGTCCTTCTCCAAGGACCGGTCCCTCCTTGAAACATGTCCAAAGTATGTCAGACGAAGCCCCAGAATCCTTGCCTCCAAGGAGCAGCCTGGTTTAACCCTCTCAAGGATGAATCTGTTTGTTTTCTTAGCAGTCCATGGTATATTCAATATGCTTCTCCAGCACCACAGCTCAAAGGCATCAGTTCTCCTATCATCCCTAGTCATTGTCCAACTCTCTGCTGCATAACAAGTGATTGCAAAAACCATGGTGTGTATTGGGGGCACCTTAGTCTCCAGAGTGACACCATTGCTCTTCAGTACTTTGGAGCGGTCCCTAACAGCAGACTTTCCCATGGCAATACATCTTTTAATTTCCTGGCTGCTGGTGCCAAGAGTGTTAACTGTGGAGCCAAGCAGACTAAAGCTGTGAACAATCTCAATCTCTTCACCATCCATCCTGATGCTGCCAATCGGCCCAGTGGTGAGATCTTTATATTCTTGACATTGTGCCTCAATCCCTATTGAAGGCTGCAGTCCTTGACCCTCTGTATCAAGCGCTTCAGGTCCTCCTCAGTTTCAGCAAGCAGTTTTGAAGCAGAGATGAAGGAAGATAAAAGACCTGAAGCCTGAAGCCCCACCACCGGCCGAGAGAGGAAGCCTGCACCTCTGAGAACAGAGATTGGAGCCCTGCCCTGCACCACGCTCACAATCTCCACAAGGTTCAAGGTCACTGTTACAGCCACAGGGTCCATCTGTCTCACTGGGGCTCTGCCTCCCTTTCTCTGACCCTCACGAGGTCTTGTCCTTAAGTAGGTGGGACCAGCTTTGGCCAGCCTTGCTTTTAAGGAGCACCTTGCTGGCCATGGAATAATCAATATTCTTTGTGAAATATTTCAAAAGCACTGAAGGGCGGCCAACCGGAGGGTCAGGGACAAAGAGAAAGGCCCTCAATGAGATAGACTGTCGTGGTGACCACAGCAGCTAGCTCAGATGTGGGGGATGAGTGTGTAGAAGTTTTGTTCTGCTGGCCTTCGGGTCTTCGTGCATTGAAACTGACCTGCGGGCACTGGAGAGGAACCACACAGCTTCCCACCAGTGTGAGAACGTGGTGTTGATGTTAGGGGCCTTCGAGTCAAGCACAACCCACAACGACACTACGAAGAGCAGATCTGAACCGTGTCCTGTCCTGGGCCAGCCTCACCGTCTCTGACACACGCGAGCCCACTGCTGCAGTCACCATGTCAATGCACCTGGTCGAGGGTCTTCCTCTCCTTCACTGACCCTCCACCCTTCCCAGCATCATGTTCTTCTCCAAGGAATACCCCTCCTAGTAACATGCCCAAAGCTTAGCTGTCCTTGCCTCCAAGCAGTGAGCACAGCTCCCTGTCTGCTGGGGTCCCCTGCTGGATTTTTTCCTAAAGCAGCAGCATCAGCTCAAGAAACCAGGGGGGGGGGACCCACAGGCAGGTGGAGCACAGGGGTGGGCGGGCACAGCACCTGGTGAGGACCAGGCTGGAAGGGTCCTTGTGTTCTGGGGGCACTGCAATCAGCAGGATGTCAGGCAGCACCAGGCTGGGCAGGGTGGCCGCCACGCCCATGGTCAGGCGGTTCATGCTGTGATGCAGGAACACAGGGCCCCCTCTGTGGGTCACCTGGGTAAGGCCAAGGAGAAGGGCTGGGACCACGACCTCCCCAGCCCTCCTCCCCTCTCCCCCTGCATTCCCCTGGCCAGCCGCCAGTCCCAAGCCTGCTGGCCGCTACCCCCTAAACCCAAATCCCCACTGAGTCAGCTCTGACTCCTGGCACCCCCCGTGTGTACTGCAGTGTGTGGAACTGCGCTCGGAGGGTCTTCCCAGCAGTGGGCAGCCAGACCTTTCTTCTGAGGTACTTCACGGGGGATTGAAACCACCTGCCTTTCAGCAGCCTGCCAGTGTGAGGCCCCCAGACCCATCCCAACCCCGACCCAGTGGCACCCCCGCCCTCCATCCAGCCCCCTCGCAGGCCCAGATCAGAGGGAGCCGGGGACCTGGATGAAGTTACTCTCCAGCATGGGCAATGGGCGGAGGGGCAGGTACTCGCCCTTCTGGAGGGTCTTCTGAAGCTCGCCCAGAATGGGGACCCACTGAGGGGGAGAGGTGAAAGCCCCCAAGCATGTGATGTTCCAGAAGCGGTTCATGGCAGCCCCCAGCAAGGATGGTGGGGGCTGGAGTCGGAGGGGACCCAAGCGTTCGGCCTGCCTGGCCCCTCAGCACTCTGGCTCTGCCCCTTGGGTCTTAAGGCGCCTGGAGGTCAGCGGTCACTGAGGACAAGGCATCCCCAGGACTGGAGCAGTGGGCCGTACCTGGTGAGGTGGGCAGCTCTGGCCAGGAGGAGGGGCCTGAGGCTTTGTGACGTCACCGGTCGCACAGCCGGGTCGCCCTCTGAGCTCCGAGGTTCCTTTTCCCCAGAAGAGAGACAGCCTGGGACCTCAAAGAGTGGGCTGCATGGGTCGGGACCCTAGAAGCAGGCTCAGTCCACTCCCCTCATCCACCCCTCACCCCGGGGTGCTCAGTGGCCTCGTCCGTAAGGATGGCTTCTCAGGCGGCGGTTCAAATCCCCCAGAAGCTTCAGGAAGACAGTCTCCTCCCATGGGATTTACAGCTGCAGAAAAACCCAGCAGAGGGGCAGCTGAGGGTCAGTTCTGAGGCCACGGCAGGGAAAAGAACCCGATCAATTAATGCTAAACCCCAAAACGTCTGTGAAGGGTAGTGTGAAAAACCAATATGATTTTTTAGAAAGAATCTTTTTTTTTTTACTTTATTATTTTGTGTGTGTGTGTGTACTGTCAAATCGGATCTGACTGGTACAAGAGGAGAATGCCCCTCCTTCTCCAACAGAGCATCTGGTGGATTCGAACTCACGTACTTCCGGGATTGCAGTGCAGTTTCCGGCCACTAGGCCACCGAAAAACCAAGATGGTTTGTAAACTTTCATCAAAAGATCACAGCCATGCAAACCCCACGGGGCTCTGCCCCCTCTAGTTGCTGTGAGGGAGGGAGGGCCACTGGGGGGGGGACATTTATAGCATTTGCCATTTGCTTTTGTCAGCGTTGCCAGGATGAGTCGTTTCCACCTAAATGCAGGGGTCCCCTAAAGTGTGTGTATTGCTGCCCTGGGGTGACCTTCTGGAAAGCTTTTTTCTTTAGTTCACTTATAAACTAAATGCCTGCCCTGTCCCTAACCAGCTGGACTGAGAATCTCAAGGCTGGTGGTGGGAAAGAAAAGAAACAGAACTCATTGTGGTCAAGTGGAAACTACTCAGAGCTGCCCCACCTTGACCCCAATGACCCCGCAAAGGTCACAGCTGAGCCGCCGTCGAGTTTCCAGTGGAAACGTCAAGCTGGGCTCTGAGGTTGGAAGGAAGGGTGGCTGTAGTGACCCCCCTGACGATTGCAGGCCCCATGTGCAGAGCAGGGTGGAGCCGTGGGGTTTCAGCATCTTCAGGACGGCTTTCCAAGGGACACCTGGGTGGGTTCGAACCCCCAGTCTTCCAGATGATGGTGAAACACCCAGGTGCCTCACCAGAAGTCCCTCTGTAAAGGGGGGGACTCACTGCCTCCTCATTCTCTCAGCGCACCCACTCATAGCTGACCCTCCAGCGGGCTTCAAAGGCTGTAAACTGCACGGGAGGAGAGTGCCCATCTTTCTCCCTCAAAGCTGCTGGTAGATTTGAACCCCTAACGAAGCACCACTTTGGGGGCCAGCAGCACAGCCCCCTCAGATCTCTGACACCGCAGCTCCTTCCTTCAAGATCGCTGTGAGTGTGTGACCACTCCCAGCTGACCCCTCAGGCATCTTCCAGAGGCTGTCAGGGGTGCAGGCAGAGACACCCCTCTTTCCCTCAAGGAACAGCTAGTGGATTCCAACTGCCTGACTTTGGGTTGGCTGCACTACTCCCTACCCCCCTAGGCCACCAGAGCACCCTTCCATAAAAAAGCACAGCCTAGAAAAAATGCTGCATGCAACACGCAGAGTCCCCGGGGCTTGTTAGAATAAACTTGATGGCAGGGAGTTCGAAGGCTGGCTTTGGGTGGTTGGTTTGACTCTCTCTACATTCTACGGAGGGGGCTCTGGCAGCCTCCTCTGCAGAGAATCGCCCTGTTAACTCAGATGTTACCCCGCTCCAGGGAGCTGACCCACCCGGGGAGAAAGACAGACAGTCTCCTGCTGTGCACTTTACAGCCTGGGAAAGAAACCCCGCGGAAGGGCAGCTGTCAATGGGTTAGCCTTCACAGCAGTGACCGTGGACTTCTGACCAGGGATGGGCTGGCATGGTGGCTCATGGGAAAGGCTGTTTGTTGGGACTCAGAATCGGCTTCATAGCACCTGACAAGACCCCACACGCCCACACAGAGCTCACAGCAGCTCCAAACCCCCCCCAAAAGAGTCCCCTCCCCACTTTGCCCCTTAATAATGCCTCTCTCTCATTCCAGCCTCTTCCAAGGCCACAGAGACTCCCCGGCACCCCGCTCCCTGCCTGCAGAAAAACAACCCCCAGATGGGAGGATAGGAAAAATGTCATTTCCCCTTCTCGCAAACTTTTTAAAAAAAAGTTTTATTTTACAAAAACCCAGGCCTTCTCTCACCCTCCCTCCTCATCCCAACAATAAAAAGTCATTGTGTAATAAATAAGAGATACTCCTGCCCAGGCCAGAGGGGCGGGGGCCAGGAGGACACGGTGACCCCGAAATCTCGCCCCCCCTCAAATAAATAAGTATAAATAAGGCACAAACGCCTCCCCCAGCAAGTCTCCAGAAGGGACCTCTGCGACCCTGGAGGAAGGCGCAGGGGGCGGTCCCTTGGCCGCCACGCCCCCAGTCCCGAAATAAATAAATAAATAAGATCTGGCTTCAAGGACGATCAAGGCTCTGGGTCCAGGGGTCACAGCCGGGTCCTCAGCACCAGCAGTCCCCGCACGGCCCAGTCAAGCGTGAGATGTAGCCCCCCCAGAATGGCGTGCGCCGCCCTGATGCCGCCCCAGGCGGAGGACGGAGGGGCCAGCGGGGGCGCCGGAGGGTCTGGGGGCGCCTGGGGCAGGGCCAGGCGGGACATCTGTTAAGAGAGAAAAGAAGGTTAGCTAAGGCACAGGGGCACGCGGGCCACACGGGCCCAGGAGAAAGGATGTTTGGGGTAGGTGTTGAATTAATTTGGGGAAAGGGTTCTCGCTTATTTCCAGAGCTTTGGAGGGCGGAGGTGTCTGGGTGGCGGGGTGGGGGTGTGTGTGTGGGGGGTGCTCTGAAGGATGCTGGAATTAGGAAACTGAGGCTGGGCTCCAAGAGTTGTATTTTTAGGGTTCTGGGGTGAAGGGCGGGAACGAGGTGTAGTCTTTAGACATGGCAGGATGTTGGGGTGAAGTCGTGAAGATGGGTGAGGGCCGGAGTCCAGGGTCTGTGGGTGGTCAGGGATGAGTGGGCAGTAGCAGGGTATGGAGCTGGGTGAGGGCCAGAGTCCCAGGTCTATAGGTGGTCAGGCTTGGGTGAGTGGCAGTGGGGTGTGCAGCTGGGTGAGGGCTGGGGTCCAGGGTCTGTGGGTGGTCAGTGTTTGGTGGGTCTGGTGGCTCTGGCCTCAGGCTCAGGGACCCTGGGAGAGGTCTGTAGTCCAGAACTGGGATCTTGAACTTTAGCCCCAGGGCCTTTTCAAGTGAGGCCCCAGGACTCATGTGTGAAGTCTCCTAGGCATAGGGTTCAGGAAGCTAGCGTTTAGAGCTGTAAGGGCTAATAATCAAAGTACAGGGTCTCAAAGTGTCAGGATCTGTGAACCTTGGGTCTCCGGGACTGAGACACAAGTGATGAAGCTGGGAGAGCTTAAGGCTTAAGACCCCTGGTCCTAGGTGTCAGGGTTTGGGCTCTAGACTTGGGGGCTGGGGTCTCATCGTGGGCAATCTGAGGTCTAGGTTCTTTGAGTCTGGCATCTCGGGGTTGAGGCTGAGGCAGGCTCTTACATCTGGGGGTCTGGGAGCGGGACCTTGAGATCCAGGATTTGGAGTCTTGGGGCCAGGTATTGGCCAGGTTAAAGTATTGAGCTGAGACGTGGGGCCTCAGGCCTGGGGTCTTGGGATTTTAGGGTACGTGGTCTATGGTTTAGGGAAAGATTTTGGGTCTAAGAGTTTGAGGTTATGGGATCATGAACTGTGGGTTGGGGTTTCAGGACCAGGGTCGTGGGGTCCCAAGTTTCAAGGACCTTGAGGTTATCAGGTCGGGATGGGATCTTCCTGATGCATTTGGGGCTCTAAGTTCACGGGATGAGGTCTTTCTGGTGGATTTGGGCTTCTAAGGTCATGGGATGAGGTCTCAGGTCTTGGGGGCGAGAACTTACCAAGAGCTGTAGACGGCGCAAGAGCCGGTCCAGCCGGGCCTGCAGGCCCCCCAGCTCGGGCTCCAGAGTCCGCAGGGAAGGGCCACCCGCCCGGCGCAGCCACTGCACGTGGCGTAGGTAGGACAGAAGATCGGCCCTCAGCCTTATCAGCACGCCAGGCAGCTGGGGACATGGGGACAGGAGCCAGGAGTCAGGGAACACCGGCCACACTCCCACTCCCTCCACTCCGAGCGGCCACCGCACACACCCCCACATGCCCCCTCGCTCTGTTCTCACCTGCAGGGCTCCCAGCGTCCCTGCGCTCATGGCCAAGGTGGGCAGCGAGTCCAGGCTGTGGTCCCCGTCAGCTGGGAACTTGTCTTTCTGATGGGAGAGCAGCTTTGAAGGGCGGACACCCTGCCCAGCTCAGAGATCCCTTCACCCCTGCCCAGCTGAACCCCTTTCTTCCCTACACTTCACCCCAGCCTGGGGTCTCCCGCTCTCTCTGCTTCAGTTTCCCTCCCAGAGCCACCCCCGTTGGCATCTGCCCCTCGCTCCCTACCAGCTCTCTGGGGATCTCACTGTATCCTCTCCATGGGCCCCGTGTCTGCCACCCAATGCCCACCTCTCTGCTGTGCCCCTTCCCATCCGTCTCATCTCCACCCTCCCACTCAGGACCTTCTGGCTCCTCTCTGGGCCACCTCAGCCCTGGCCTCCCACTCCCCTGCTCCCGGCACCCCCAGGTCCTACCAGCTGTGCTGCGAGCTGCCGAGTGTCGGCCAGGAGAGCTCTGGTCAGGAGGACGGCGCTGTCCAGCTCGGCTCGAGGGTCTGGGGAGGCTCGTGGGGGACCGGGAGGTGGGCCAGGGGCAAAGACGTGATCTGGCCACAGGCTCAGCACGACCAGAACCAGGTTGCAAACACCTAGAAGGACGAAGAGAGCAGGTCAGAGGCCTAGTCCGAGGGAAGGAGGACCTGCTGGTGATGGGCTTCTGAATCTGAGGGAAGAGGCAGCCTGTGGGCGTCTGCAGGTCTGAGGGAGGAGGGGCTGGGGGTCAGGATTTCAGGGTCTGAGGGAGAAGGAGGGGACAGCTTGGGGGTCAGAGCTCTGGGTTCGAGGGAGGAGGCAGCCTGGGGGTCCAGCTCCCCATCTCAGGCAGGATGGGCTGGAGGTCAGGACTCCAGGGTCTGAGGGAGGAGAGGACAGCCTGGGGGACAGGACTCTGGAGTCCGAAGGTGCAGGGCCATCCTAGGAGTCAGGACCCTGGGTTCTGAGGGTGGAGGGCCAGCCTGGGGGTCAGGACAGGGGGTCTGAGAGTTGAGAGGCCAGCCTGGAGGTCAGGACCCAGAGTCTAAGGGTGGAGAGGTCAGAACTCTGGGGTGTGAGGGTTGAGGGCCACCCAGGGGGTCAGGATTCCAGGGCCTGGAGGTGGAGGGCCAGCCAGGGGTTCAGGACTCTGGGGTCTGAGGGTGGAGGGCCAGCCTGGGGGGTATCAGAACTCAGGTCTGAAGGTGGAGGGCCAGCCTGGGGGTCAGGACCCCGGGACCTGGGGGTGGAGGGTCCGCCAGGGGCTGGACCCCGGTGTGAGGGCGGAGGTGAGGGCTGTCCGAGGGCGGGGGTGCAGGCAGGTCCCCGGCGGGCGGGCTCCCTGCGCCCTGGCGGCCCCGCCCGTCGGAGCAGACGCGGCCCGGGGCGGGTAGACGGGCCGGGCGTCTCCCGTCCGCCCCCAGACGCCGGAATCTGGGCCCCGGGGCGGGGCGTGAGGGGGGAGCCACAGGCCAGAACCTGTCCCCTCCCCCGGCCCGCGCCGAGCTGGACCTGGGGGCAGGGAGAGGAGCCGGGGCACCGCCAGGCCCGCGGACCCCCGCGCCTGCCCGGGACCCCCGAGTGCCCGGGCCCCGGAAGGGATGCCTCGGCTGCAGGGCCCTGGGACCCGCCGCGCACCTGGACGGCAGGCGGGGGGTCGGGCCGGTCCGTCCCCTGCCCACCCCGCGCCCCGCCGGGGGGGGCCAGCCAATCAGCGCCCCCCGGCCGCCCGCTCCCCATCACACCCCCAGCCCGCCCCCTGGTCCCCTCCCGCCGGCCTCCCCGGCCCCTCCCCACGGCTGTCTGTCTGTCCATCTGGCCCTCGCTGGTCCGCACAGCTCTCTCCTGCTGGAACCTGGCTTCTCCGGTCTTCCTGCCTCAGTTTCCCTCCCGGAGCCCCTCTGTCGGCGTCCCGCTGCCTGTCTGCGGGTGCCCGTCTGAGGGTCCCCGTGGCTCCGCGGCCCGGCCCCGCATGTCCCCCTTCTGAGTCCCTCCTGACACCCAGGCCCCCTCTCCAGCGCCCCGTCTGCCCCACGATTTCTCCGGGTCGGTACCCAGCGGGTCGGTGCCCCGTCCCGGGTCCCGGGTCGCCCTCGGTCCTCCGTCCATTCCGTTGTCTTGCTCACTGCCCTCTGGCACCGCCGGCTTCCCCTCGGCCATGAACTTGAAGGCACTTACTGTTCATGTCCCCACAGGGCCAGGGGTTCCCAGGGCAGGGAGAGGGCGCCGGGGTCTTTAACCCTTCCCTGGCCGCTGCGGGCCGGGGTCAGCTGGGCCGTGGCCGGCGGAGGGAAGGCATAAGAGCCGCGGTGGGAGCGGCGGCGCAGTGAGGGCGTGCGGCGCCCGGGGGCTTATATAGGGGGCCGGGGCGGCGGCGGGGGGCAGGCGGCGGGAGGGCGGCCTGACACATCCTGACTCACTCCGCTGCCTGCCTTTTCCATCCAGACAGAAGACGGCCGCGAGGCTCGGAGGAGGCACGAAAGGAAAAGTTGGAAAAGTTGAAAAGAGAAGGGGGGGTGGTCGGAGAGAGACTGGTGAGGTCATGGGAGTCCCCTCCCTCCACCTCCTTGGCCGGCAGACGCAGGCGGCTGGAGAGCCCGGCCTGGCTGTGGGCGGGGGTCTGGGCGGGGGTCCCCCACAGGCAGCCAGAGGAAGTGGGGAAGGGCAGTGAAGTGGACCTGGGGAGATGGAGTCAGAGAAATGCCAGGACTGACACCAAGCCACCTAGGGAGATGGAGTTAGCGGGCTAGAGACCCAGAGAGCGGTGGAAATGCTGAGGTCAAGGGTGAGAGGCCAGAGACAAAGGTGCAGGGAGAGAGGACGAGACAGAGGGATGGACAGGCAGAGATGGAGACAGAGAGATGGACAAGCAGAAAAGCACAGAGAGATGGAGACAGAGAGATGAACAGGCAGAGACTCATGGAAAGATAGGAAAAGAAAGATGGACAGGCAGAGATGCAAAGAAAGACAGAGAGATGGAGACAGAAGAGATGGAGAAATGGAGACAGAGAGATGGACAGGCAGAGATGCATGGAGAGATGGAGACGGAGATGGAGAGACACAGACAGAGATGGAGAGACACAGACAGAGATGGAGAGACGGAGACAGAGATGGAGAGACGGAGACAGAGATGAAGAGATGGAGACAGAGAGGTGGACAGGCAGAGACGCATGGAAAGATAGAAAAAGAAAGATGGACAGGCAGAGATGCAAAGAAAGACAAAGATGGAGATAGAGAGATGGAGACAGAAGAGATGGAGAAATGGAGACAGAGAGATGGACAGGCAGAGACGCATGGAGAGATGGAGACAGATGGAGAGACGGAGACAGAGATGGAGAGATGAAGCCAGAGAGGTGGACAGGCAGAGATGCATGGAGAGATGGAGAGCCATTAAGACAGAGACACATGAGAGAAGGGGAGAGTGAATCAGAGATAGACTCTGAGCGGGACAGCGAAGGAGAGATTCAGACAGAAAAAAGACTCAGACAGAGAGACACAGAGAGATGGAGATGTTGACACGGAGACACTGTGAGACAGAGACACGGGAGAGAGGAGGGTGGGGCATAGGGTTAGAAAGACAGAGATACCTGGCAAAGAAGAGACAGTGGGAAGTCAAGATGAACAGACTTTGGGACAGAGACTCATGGAGAAATGGTGACAGTGGGATGGAGAGATGGAGAGATTCTGAGACTGAGACCCCCGGAGAAAGAAAGGGTCAGAGAGATGAAGAGATGAACCCACGGAGATAGTCAGTAGGAGAGACAGGGGAAACATGGCTTACTGAGATCTTATTCACATATCATTCTATTCACTCATTCAAATAAACTTTATAATGCTTGCTGTGCAAATTTTCAGGGGGGGAAGAAGTGAAGAGATAGAGACAGTAGGTTATAGAGATGGAGAGATGGAGATGGTGGACATAGAGGTAGAGGGATGAGATACATACGGAGATGGTGAGACGTAAAAGTGGAGAGATAGACACGGTGGAGATATAGAGATGGAGAGACGGAGCCGTGGAGAGATGGAGACCATGGAGGTAGACATGGAGAAATGGTGGGTCATAGAGGCAGAGGGACAAGAGACCCATGGAGAGATGGATCCCATGGCACATGGGATAGAGCGGGACAGAGATAATTTTTGAAGCTGAGACGCATGGAGAGATGGGGACAGTGGGACACACCTGTAGACGTTCAAGGGAAATGCCCTGGGCAGGCAGGGAGGACTGGACAGCCAGCACTGCAGACTGGAGGGCATCACATGCTGAGTCTCAGGTCAGAGAGCAAGAAGACAGCTATGGGTGGTCCAGTGACCCTGAGACACCCCCACCCCACGCCGAGGAAAAGGAACACTGAGACTCAATGAGAGCAAGATGAAGGGATTGAGGCCCAAGAGAGGGGAGGAGGAAATAGGGCCTGAGGCGTGTAAAGACGATGGAGTGATCTGAAGGACAGACGTCAGACACAGAGACACAGAGAGATGGACACAGACTCAGAGACCCAGGACAGGGAGCGGACAGACAGGACAAAGCTTCCTCAAGGAGGCAGAGATGAGGACATAAGCGCAATGCATGGGGACACTTGGAGAACGTGGGACCTGGGGCTCGTGCCTCCCCAGTTCTGTGCCTCAGTTTTCCTCCTCTGTAAGATGGGGAGAGGAGCCTGTCCACCTCCAAACAGCCGTCCTTCATAAGGGTGAAGTGCATCCATTCACATCAAGCACACAGCCAGTATTATTCAGTAAACACAAGTCACTGTTGTTTCTGTTGGTTTTTATTCATATATCCAGAGAGAGCCTGAGAGAGACAGAGAAGAGACACAGAGGGGGCAGGTAGAGAGAGAGAGAAGGGAAGAGACAGAGATACACAGAGAAGAGAGGGGGAGAGACAGAAGAGAGAAGTAGAGGGGAGACAGGGGAGGGGCGGGGAGACCCAGAAAGGATTGACACAGGGAACAGAGAGGAGAGACAGAAGCACTGGAAGAGAAGGGTGCTGGGGGGACCACTACCCCAGCCAGGGAGAGGGCAGAGAGGCCACCAGGCTGGGGGTGGGGTGGGGAGGAGGATGGTGTCCAGGTGAAAGAGAGGGCAGGACCGAGAGGGGGTCCCCAGTTAAGGGAGTCTGTGAGGACTATTGTGGAGTTTCCCGAAAGTAAAAGGACAGGGGTCCTGATTTGAGGGCATGGCTGACTCAGGTCCCCAGGATGCCTCAGATCCTCCTGGGACCGAGGTGCCTGGAAGGACAGGGAGGTGACAAGGACATCAAAGATGCTGTGGGCGCCCTCCCTGCCTGACTCCGGGGGATTTGCTGAGGTGGAAAGGGGGCTTTGGGAACATGGAGTCACGCCCTCCATCCCCCACAAGCAGGGAGTAAAAGGCTCTGGTCTCCAGAGAGGTGAGGTCACAGCCCCCCCACAGAGGGACATGACTTCATCGGCTCAGGTGAGAGCGGCCTCAGTCAGCCAGGCCGCCCCCTCTGGCCCCCCAGAGGCCCTCTGGCCCCACACCCGCAGGGACCCAGGCCTCCTGACCACGGGGTCCCCGCCCCGCAGGGGACCTGTTTCCGGCTGAGTCAGCGTGGGGGGCCTCTGGCTGCGTCAGCGAGGGGAGCGCTGACGTAGCCCCCCCCCAGATGGCTGAGCCGGCCAAGGTGACTCAGGCCACCACCAGCCTGGGGGATGGACTCCAAGTGCTGGGGGCACTGGGCCTGGGCCAGAGGCGATAAAGCAAACAGTGGTCCCGAAGTCACGGCCACCCCATGTTTGCCAGGGGGAGAGGGGAAAATCCCCAAAACTCACCGGGCTCAGGGATGCTCACTGCGGGAGACCCTCCCCGGCTGGGTTTCTGAGGATACGAATCTTAAGGGAGGAAGACTGCTTGACTTTCTTTAGAAACTCAAGAGCAAGAGGGGCTAGAAGGGAGTTCCTTCACCTGGACGTCCAGAGACCAGACCCTCCACGCTCAGACCAGGGAGTCTGGACCCCAACTTCCTCCCTCAGATCAGGGAGTCCTGACCCCAACCTCCTCCATCAGACCAGGGAGTAAGGGCCCCAACTTCTTCCCTCAGACCCAATAATCTTGACCCCTCCACAGCCCCTCCTCCCTCAGACCTTGAAATCCTGACCCCCATCCCCTTCTCCCTCAGACTCAAGAGTCTTGACCCTCAAAACCAAGAATCTTGACTCCCATTCTCTCCTCATTCAGATTTGGGGATCCTGATACCCAGCCCCTCCTCCCTCAGACCCAGCAGTACTGTTCCCCGTTCCTATCCCCTTGTTTCTAGGACATGGAGAGAATCCTTCCGACACCCCGCATTTGAGAGAGCACTGTGTCAGGGGCAAGAGGAAGATGAGGTTCTGTCAGTTCCCTTTCTTGCCTGACCTCTGCCTTCACCCTGGCTCGTGGGTGGGATTCCCCCAGCATGGCCTCAGGTAGGGTGTGTGTGGACAAAGTCCAGGAATCCTGGACATTCATCCCCTTGGGGTGGGGACAGGGTGACTAGTGTGGACGCGAGGGCCAGCCTGAGACAGTGGGTGAAGTCGACTAAGAGCTGCCACCCAGTCACGACTCACGGTGACCCGGAGGGATGGGGGGCCCCAGCGTCCTTGAAGGACAGCCTGGCACTGTCCACGGTGTCCAGCGCTGGCCCCTCTACAGAAGCTGACTGTCTCACCGTCCCACTGAAGAGCACCTGGTGGACTGGACCCATCAACCTTTCAGATGGCAGTCAAGCGCTTAAACTACCAGGCTCCCTAAAAACAAGGTGAACTGGCAGGTGACCCCCTGAAAGAGCCAAACCAGCTCATCGAGCGCCACTGGACAGAGCACAGCCCCCCAGCGGTTGGTCCTCACACACGCACAGACACCCTCATCTTGCTTCTGTGCAAGGGCTGGGGGATTCGTACTGCTGACCTTGTGGGTAGCAGCCTGATGCTTAAGGCAGATAGAAATCTACAAAGTCCCAGCGTGAAGAGAAGATCATGACAGACAGATGGACAGGAGGCAGATGGTGCCTGGAACTCCAGATGGCCCCAGGACGAGGAGGGGGACAGACTGGGCGACATGTGAGGAGGGGGTCCCTGCTCCAGCACCAGCTCTGGACCAGGTGGGGCCGACCGGGTGTGAGGTCAGCAGGCCCGGAGCGGTGTGTGTCCGTCTGTCTGTCCCTGGGGGGTCCTGTCTGGCCTCTGGGGGGTGACGGGGCAGACGGCCGCAGAGGCAGCCCAAACCTGTCATTAGTGGCCAGGGCCGTGCCGGGGGCCCCCCCCCCAGGCCAAGCCGTGTCCCGGCCGGAGGCCCCGCCCCCCACCCCCTCCTTGATCCCTACGGAATCCCGGGAATTGGGAAGTGGGTCCGGATGATGTTGACACAGGAAACTCAGCAGCTGCCTGGCCTCAGCCCCTGTGACCCCCACCCCCGGCCCCCTACCGAGCCCCCACTGACCTGTGTCATCAGTGACGGAGGGAGTCGGTCACCACGAGGTTTACGGGAGAAGGGGGTCAGGGCAGCTCACGTAGCTTCCAGAGAAGCTGGGGTCTGGATGCCCGGAACCTCCTCTCTCCGACCTGGACTCTTGACCTCCAGGCCTCCTCCCTCAGACCCAGGGGTCCTGACTCCCAGGCCTCCTCTCTCAGACTCCAAAGTCTCAAACCACCCCCAACCCTTCTCCCTCAAACACAGGAGTCCTGACCCCCAGCCCCTCATCCTCCTCAGACCTGGAGTCTTGACCCCCAGACCCTCCTCCTCCCTTAGACCCAGAAGTCCTGACTCCCAAGCCCCCTCCCTCAAACTCCAAAGTCTCAACCCCCCCAAACTCTTCTCCTTCAAACCTGGGGGTCCTGACCCCCAGCCCCTCCTCCTCCTGGGAGTTCTGACCCCCTAGTCCCTCCTCCTTCCTCAGACCTGGACGTCCTGACCCCCTAGTCCCTCTTCCATCAGACTGGAGAGACCTCACTCAGAGTCAAACAGCCTGACACGAGCTGAGATGCCCAAGGGCTGCGAAGCTCACAGTCAAAGTCAGGGTCATGACCTTGAACTGGTCCTCAGTCCCCTTTCTCCTAAAGCCAAGTTCATCCTCACACGCACGGGGGAGTCCATGCAGAAAGCTTGTTGAGCTCCACTTTGACCTGTTGACCCGTTCCCAGGTGGGGAAACTGAGGTCCAGACCAGAAAAGAGGTGCCCACTCTGTCTCCCACACCCTCTGCTTCTCCCACGTGCTCCCCTCCCAGTGGTCCCCACAGCCCCATGGCGTGTTCGGGGCCACCTTCACATAGCCACTGCCTCATCCTGCCCACCCCCGCAGGACAGGCTGGTGGTTTCGAACCTCCTACCCTCTGATTAGCCTCTGAATGCTTTATCTTCTGCACCACCAACAGTGAAGAACACCCCCCTCCAAGATGCTTCCAGGGGCCCAGCAGGTGGGCAGCAGCTATCTTCGCCAGCTGGGTGGACCGTTACTAAGTCCCCTTCCCTCACAAAGGGCTCAGTGAGCCCTTCTGTGTCCAGAGCCCCCTTCCCTGGTGGATAAGGGCAGAACTCCCTAGCAACCAGGGCCCCTCAGGTTGGAAGGGAAGGACCTCCCTAGCAACGGAGTCTCCAGACCCCCTCCCACTGCTGGCCTTCAGAGACGCTGCCTCTGCGGGAAGATGTCTGAGGACCAGCCTCCGTACCTCTGTCCAGTGCCCCTCCTCCAAGGAGTTCTTCCAAAGCCCCCCCTTCATGTTGTCACTAAGGAAGCAACTCCATAGCAACCAGGCATTATCCAGCCCCTTCCCGCCTCCCCCCCCAGTGTAAGGGCCCCATCCCCGCAACAGAACTTGGAATCTTGGGGACCATGGGGAGGGTGGGGCCCAGCTGTTGCTGGGGTGATGGCCAGCACCCCACAGAGGCCCCAGGGCTCTGGGGAGCAGCATGGCGGCCTCGGGGATCTCGACGCTGAGCCTCTTTCTGCTCATGCAGGGCTCAGTGGGTGAGGGGCACGAGAAGAAGTCAGGGGGCCGGGGCGGGGGCCGCTGTTCTCGACCTGCAGCCCCCAATGTCGCTCCTTTTCTCTCACAGATGGGAATGGAATCCAGGGATTCTTCTATCCATGGAGTGAGTAGTGGCTGAGAACCTGGGCCCCAGACTAGACATCCGCTCTGAGGGAGCACACCCTGGGGGTGGAGACGGAGGAGGGGGTTAGGGGTCAGGACCACTGATTTTGGGGAGAAGGGACTATGGGAGGACTCCTGGGTCCGAGGGAGGAGGCTGGGATCAGAATTCTTGGGTCTGGGGGAGGAGGAACTGGGGGTCAGGACTCTTGTGATAAGGGAGCAGGGGTTAGGGTTCACGACTATTGATTTGGGGGAGAATGGGCTGTGGGAGGTGCTGGAAGTCAGGGCTCCTGGCCTAGGGGAGTAGGAACTGTGGACAGCACTCCTGGGTGTGCAGGAGGAGGCTGGGGGGTCAGGACTCCTGAATGTGCGGGAAGAAGGTGGGGGTGGGGGTGGTGAGGACTCCTGAATGTGAGGGAACAGGGCATGCACTACTGAACCTCGGGTCCCACAGGGAGCAAGTACCAGGTCAGCCACAGCCCCCAGCCTGGCCTTGTTAGGACCGGCAGGCCCCAAGCCGAAGCCATGTGCCTCTGTCCCCCTCTGTCCCCAGCTTGTGAAGGTGATATGTGGGACCGGGAAAGCTGTGGGGGCCAGGCGGCCGTGGAGAACCCCAACCTCTGCCTGCGTCTCCGCTGCTGCTACCGAGA